TTCTGTTTTTGGTTTTTTGACTGAGGATATTGAAATTAAGGGCACTTTACCACTGAGCTAGTCCTTAGTCCTTTTTTTTTTTTTTCTTTTGCACTTTAGGGGCTTGCTAAGTTGCTGAGACTGGCCTTGAACTTGTCTGTATTCCTCCTGCCTCAGCCTCCAGAGTCACTGGGATTACAGGCATGTGTCACTAACTCATGTGCCACTGTGACCAGCTCCAAAATGATTTTTATGAAGATATAGGAATGTGTAAATATAAGTATTACTCAGGTAACAGAACATTAGCATGTTTGAGAACTATATTGCCACATGTTCTTTTATACAATTAATGTTCCTTATCTAGGGATTCATTTAGGGAAAAAAATGTTCACCTGGGCTGGGATGTGGCTCAAGCGGTAGCACACTCGCCTGGCATGCGTGCGGCCCGGGTTCGATCCTCAGCACCACATACAAACAAAGATGTTGTGTCCGCTGAAAACTAAAAAACAAATATTAAAAAATTCTCTCTCTCTCTCTCTCTCTCTCTAAAAAAAAAAAAAAATGTTCACCTACCAATGACTGTCATAGGAATATAAATTTTATCAGTGTTTTTATGTTTAATGTTAAAAAGCATTGACTTTTCTTTTTGTTTATTTTATGATGTCACTATTGACCCACCTTGGTGTTCTGAGGGGATACATAAAATAAACACAGCAGACAAGGCAAGAAAAGTCACAGGGAGTAAGGCAGGATAAGAATCATTTTATAATGTGTGAAGAGATGAGCTGGGACAATTTGTTTACCAAATGAGCCCTGTCTACAACTCTCTTAAGACCACACAAATTCTACACCCTGAGGTGAAACAGAGCTACTTTCACTACAAAAGCAATACACACACTACCCTACAGCAGGGACCTCCCACTTCCACAAGAAACAGCTGTGTCCTCTGTGCACAATTCGGTTCTAGATGTGAGTAGATATGCTTCTAACCTCCTGGATAGGTCCAGAGTAGAACATGAGAGAAGACAGACAAAGATTGACATATTGTTTGTGCAAAAATCTCAGGCAGAGAGAAGTAAGTGGAAATATACAGCTTTGAGAAATAGAAAGAAATTGGAATCTGGCTCTTTTTGGTCTCCTGATTGAAAGATGAGTTTGATTTTATCCAAATTGATAATATGAGAATAAAACTAGATATTTTTTTCATGTGAACCGTTTTATTCAATCATGCCAAGGAAGCATCTGAAATACAAATTCAAAATAATTGAGGCCCATGTTGAAAATAGTGCCCTGACAGTTTCCAGAATGTTACTCAAAAATATAGAACACTTCATGACTTTGAGTGTCCTCCTTGCACAGGGGCCATGTTAATACTCTCTGTATCGTTCCATTTTTAGTATATGTGCTGCAAAGCAGGCACTGCAACTAGATTTTAACTGCATTATGTATTCACCTATAACTTGTGATTTATAAACATATTCTCATAAATGCAGTATTTTATAGTAATATCAGAGATCCATCCTTGACATTGAAAAGAGCTATTCATGGCTGAAAACGGACAGGATCTAAATTTGCAAATCACTTGATTAAATATTTATTAAATCAAGGCACCTGCTCCATAAAAATACTCAGTTTTCTCCAGGTAAATGAGGTAAAAAGACTAAATTTGGGCAGATGTTGGTATTCCAACATCACAATTCTTTTCAGAGAAAAAATACTCTGCAAACAGTAGTGAATGAAATAGAAATTTCCACTTGCTGTGAGGACCTTCAAACATATCCTCATTTGTAAAAGTTTCCTCCAGGCAGTCACAAATTCTGTATAAGTATTAAAGAGAAAGACCAAGATGAAGAAAAAACAAGCAGTCCCAATCTAGGAGTCGGCCTACTATTTCTAAAATGTCCCTCCCTTCAGTGGGTGACCAATGAAACCCAGTAAGAAAGTAATATGAGCTGCACTATGTCAGGAAAGGACAGGACACCAGAACAATTCCTGAAAGTTGGAGATGTTCTGAAAGACCATTGCCAATGGCTCCAGGAAGATAATAGCTTTCCTTTTAATTTATGGAAACCATTGACTCATTTACTGAGAAATCATGACTTGTGGCCCAAGCTTCTTTTAGGATCAGAAGATGAATGTTTACAGGGATTTAGGAAAAGTAAATTTACCAAAACATTGAGTTCTGTAGCACTTTAACTTGTGACAAGTACCTCTTGCTTTATAGAGAAACAGGAAAAAAGCTCTCAATGTGTCATTTAAAAATATAGACCGTACAATGGGAATGGGAGGGGTTATTTGATTTGCTGAGTAATATCTCAAATAATGTGAAAGCAACTCCATCATGGACACAAACATACATCACTGCAATGGAATGAGCAACCCACGGCCAAGTGTACCTTGAAGGACACCATGAAGTGGGGTGGTCTCCAAGAATTTGATAAAAAAAAAAAATGCAAAAGGTGTAAGGAGCTCTCCCAATCAGTAGTTGCTTTTTGTGGGCACTCAGAGGACAGTGAAACATAGATTTTGGAGTCAGATTTTTCTAAATTCAAATAGCAGGACCCCACTAACTAATTGTATAAAGGGAGCAGCAAAATGCCAGGTTGAGGATGAATAAATCATGGCTATTCATATGAGTACAATAGATAGGGCCTGAACACTGATCTTCCAGCCTTAAGCCTGATATTTTTCCTGCTATACCTTAAGAATGACACTGAAATATTATAAAGCTCTCAAAGAAAGGAGTAAAAATATTTTCTAAAAAAAAAATGGAAAAAGAGGAATAACTTAAACTACCCAGAAGGTGGGATATCTTCAAGTTAATAGAGGGAATTCTGCTATTAACAGGCTCTGAAAAGGTACAATGTGTGCCCATTAAGTTGCAGTGCCAGCAAATCTCTGGGACGGACTCAAAGGCAGAAGGATTAGAAATGGCAGCACTGCCACTGTGGCCAGGACAGAGAGGCTTTCTACCCAGGAAACACTCAAAGGACTTAAAGTCGGAAAGAGGATTTCCAAGATTCTAAAACACACAACACCTTTCTATTTTTGACCTAAAAAATGCAGTTGGGGCTTCCAACAAGACTAATCCTCTGACAACAGGAAATGTGCTATGAAGGCCTTGTACACACCCACCTGCCTCAGGTTTTTCATATGCTGCAACACAGGACAGACCTTGATCTGTTAGGGAAATACACCAACTCAAGAAGCAACCCTTCATTTTGGGAAGAAGCAATGACACTTGTTTCATTCATTCCAAGAAAAACTTATGAATTAGAAGATGCAAGAGCTGCTGGGATGACTACCCAAACAATAAAACAATTAGTCAAATAGGCCTGAGTTAGCAGTAACTGGAGGGAGGCTCAAATTTATTATTGATTTTTTTTAAAAAATGAGAATGAATGTTCTATATTTATTCACTCCATCCAGAAATTTGTCTAGAATATATAATACCCTGCCTTTCCAGACCCAACCACTGACACACCAGGGTGATGTCTTCACTGTTGTCTTATAAGAATGATCTCTACAGTGGGTTATGATCATCAAACAAAAGGAACAAATCCTTCTTTACTTTTTGGTGAATGAGATGTGCTATAAGCTCACAGATAGGACCATAAATGCTAAGGGCTCCTGTCCCATATACCCTACTCCAAAGATTAAGTTGATACATTGGTTTGACACAGAGATACTTACAAAGGATCCAAAATGCACCAAGTATTGCTTCAAGTATTGCCAAGTATTGCCTACCCCACACCCTCACCAACCACATCAGAGCAGGTCTATTCTCTGTCCTCAGTACATAGTGGCTTACTGAAGCACACAGGACTTACATCTCTTTAAGATGGTTTTATTCCTACAAACATCTGCCCTACCACACCCTCATGCTGCATTCTAAAGCCCTACTCCCAACATTTACTCCCATGCCACGGCTCCATCTATTCCCTTTTTCCTTCTACAGCTCTCTTGTCCCTCATAGCCAGCTGCTTTTCTCAATCTCCAGTTTGGGTGTGCAAAAACTGACCTTGTTTTAACAATGCCAGTCAGTGAATACATACACGCTGTCCTTGTAACACAGTGAGCTGCTGTGCTAATCTCGAGATGTTCAACCCTCCTCAGAAAACTCATATGCTGGGGCTGGGGATGTGGCTCAAGCGGTAGCGCGCTCGCCTGGCATGCGTGCGGCCCGGGTTCAATCCTCAGCACCACATGCCAACAAAGATGTTGTGTCTGCCGAGAACTGAAAAATAAATATTAAAAATTAAAAAAAAAAAGAAAACTCATATGCTACTGTGTCTTCTGGAAATTCTACTTTTCCAAAAAGGAAAAGAGTTCTCCCCAGCCACATCTGGAAATGGAGCCATTTCAGAAACCCAAGTGCTTTTCAAACCTCTTCCAGTTTGGTTTCACCATAATGTAAATGGAAGAGCAGCATACTGATAAATTTATCATGAGTTTAAGATATTACTCCCTGTGAATATTTTCACTATACACTAACTCAGTTTTTCTTTTTAAATTAAGCCATTTCCTGATGTTTTAAAACAACTGAAATAAAGATGCTAGGATTCTTAGCCTCTGCCATTAGCTATCAATAAGCTGTAGACAGCCAGCTAGATGCCTTTGTGGGCCTCTCTCCACTGATACATTTAAAATATGTGTTTAACTGCTCCCAGATATCATATTCCTTAATAGATGAATCAAATGAAAGGGGGAAAAATTTACCTAAGGATAAGGTCTAATGAGATATACTTCTTATTGCTTCTCAAGAAGTCTTTCTTTGCTCCACCTATTATATATGCAGGGTCTTAGAATTGACTGTTTGCATTTCTGTCACAGCTGTGTATAGAATGAGGTGTGCCTTGAGTTATGCAAGGGCACTGAGGTTAAACAACAATGGACCTGAAGCCATCCAATTTTCAAACCAACCCGGCAGATCACAGTTGGCTTTTTAAAATTATTATTGTTGTTGTTGATTTTTAATTATTACATTATAATTAGTAAACACGGTCTGCATAATATCAAATTGGGGGAATTTAAAATGAGTTATTTTATAAATGTTTTCAGTAGTTGCATGAAAGTAATTTGTGTGCCCTATGTGTTAGATGCAATATATATAATATTGTGTGTGTGTGTGTGTGTGTGTGTATTCAAGCTACTTACTTGTGATTTCTAATTTGTTATATCTTTTGTGGGGGAGGGGGATGCCAGGGATTGAACTCAAAGACACTCAACCACTGAGTCACATCCCCAGCCCTTTTTGTATTTTATTTGTGCCTCACCCTTGCTGAAGCTGGCTTTGAATTCATAATCTGCCTGTCTCAGCCTCCGGAGCCACTGAGATTACAGGTGTGCACCACTGCAGCCGGCTTTAATTTTTTATATCTTTATATCTTTGCTACCTCTTCTGCAAGTTTCTAAGAAAGGTAATGTTTAAAAACTGGATCATATTTATTTTCAGAAAATAAACCCAAGGTAACATATTAAAAAGGATGAATATAGCCAGGCTCTATGTGCATGGCTCGGGAGGTTGATCACTAGTTCAAAGCCAGCCTCAGGAACTTAGTGAAACCCTAAGCAACTAAAAAGGACTCTGTCTCGAAATAAATTTTAAAAGGTGGGGTAGGGGCTGGGGATGTGGCTCAGTAGTTAAGTGCCCCTGGGTTCAATCACCAGTACAAAAAAAAAAAAAAATAAAAGACTATAAAGCACCATTAAATAACAAGGTTATTTATAAATAATAGTCATTATTAAGTGGCATTAAATCTGTCAGCTTCAATTTTGTTCTGAGGAAAACTGGAATTCATGGGGCTACTTTAAGAGTTATAAAAACTTTTACTCGGGCTGGGGATGTGGCTCAAGCGGTAGCGCGCTCGCCTGGCATGCGTTCGGCCCGGGTTCGATCCTCAGCACCACATACAAACAAAGATGTTGTGTCCGCCGATAACTAAAAAATAAATAAATTAAAAAAAAAAAAAAACTTTTACTCAATTTTACTTTTTCTCCCCATTATTATTTTTTAACTGGAAAAGTATACAATCAAATGAGTTATATACCAAATTTAACTTGTTTACTTATACTAATTGCTATTATTTCTGCTTTTAGTGTACACATTGGTATGTTAATTAACTGAGAAGGCTATAATTTATACTAGCTTTTTTTTAATTTTGTTTTGTTTTGTTTGGAATGGGGAGAAGGCTGGAAAATAGATTCATGTTTCCACTCATGAAATTATTTTAAAAAGCACATGTGAGCCATACTCGATGACAGGGAAGTCTTGGAAACATGTGTTCAGCATGTCTTTGCATTCATCCTGTTGTGACAGTCAGTTGAGCAATAAGGAATAAACAATATACATTTCATCAGAACATTTTACTGTAGAGTACTTCGGAGGTTGCTTTATGTTTGGAAGCCTTCTTATCTGAC